GATTAAAATATTGTAGCACCTACAGTCTAGCCTTATAGTTGTAAAAGAAAAATACCAGTAAATTAGATTTGTCTAGCCCCATTAATTACAAGATGCAGCCCGAACCCTTATTCGGTTTCATCTTGGATAAAGATAGAAAGAAAAGCAACTCAAGTGAATAAATATTTCCAATTTTAAATGAGTGTCTTATCCTCACCCCAACATTAGTACTCTTTATAGGATGCCAAGATATCCATGGATTTGTCCAGAATGGTAAAAGAATTTTCAAGGCAATTATTGTCATAGTGGAGACCACATGTAATCATTTGAGTAAATTTATTTCTCTTAAAATTGGCCTGGTTAACATCAAAGAGATGCTGCCTAAATTTGACTGATTTCAGATGAGGAGGGAGAAAGAAGTGTGCTTAGTAAGTAAGCCTTTACACCAGCGGTTCTCAACCTGTGGGTCGCGACCCCTTTGGGAGTTAAACGACCCGTTCACAGGGGTCGCCTAAGACCATCGGAAAACACATGTATAATTTTATTGTTTTTGTGATTAATCACTATGCTTTAATTATGTTCAATTTGTAACAAATTGGGGGTCACCACAACATGAGGAACTGTACTAAAGGGTCGCGGCATTGGGAAGGTTGAGAACCACTGCTTTAGATGAAGAGCTGTGGGATAAAATTTGCTCACTCCGTTGTACAAAGCACAACCAGAACTTGTGAGTGGCTTACTTGAAGTGACTTCATACATCTTGAATACTTTTAATGTTGATGTGTTGACTTTTTTAAGTTGACTGCACAGTCACTGTATGTACTAGGAACTGGTTTCCTTGACTTTCTAGAATCATTGGCTAAGAGAGGCACTAATCCCTGCGGGGTTGAACATATCCTGAAGCTGAGTCAGTATGGAAGAATTTAAAATAAATCAAACAGGGTGCTGCAGTTCCATCTGTCTCAGGCTCACGGTAAGTTCTTACTGATTAGTGAATGTAGCTTAAGCCTTTGTCTGTGTCCTCAGGGGCAGACTTCCAGAGGGACCAGATAACGTTTGAATGGAGGGATTATATTTCAGGTGTTTTAGCTTGAAATTTATTTTTTAAAAAAATAAAAATGGGGGGGGGGGAATAGGACAAAGCCTGTGAAGCAAAATTGATATTATAAAACAGGCAGAGTTGTTTAGCACAGAGAAAATATTGACCTGTCTGCATTCTGGTACTGTGGGTGCAGGTCCTAGCTTGGTATAACGATACATTTTTAATTCTCACCAGCAAGGAAAAGGAACAGTCTTCAGAAAATGTCTGCAAAGGGTCAAACAGTAGAAAATTCGAATGTTACCGACTTTATACAGGCATTAAATAATGCTTGCCTACAGAAGTATAGCATTTCCAAGCTTCTGTCTGAGAAGCATTTCAGAGATGTGAAAGTAAATCTGAGGTAGTTGAAAAATTGGTAAGGACAGGAGAAAAATCCCTGCAGATACGATCTTACGTTAGTTGGCCAAGTGAAATGATCTAGCATTGTGTTTGGGAGGTTTTATTTTCTTACGTTTTTAAAATTGAATTGGTAAATACTTTATAGGCGTATTTTTATCCAGGTGCCACTCCAATTTGTGTGTGTAATAAAATTATTTATATTAAAAGTGGGAAATAATTTGTCAACATTTTTCTGTGAGTATAGATTAGGGGTGGCAAAGAAGAGTGCTAGTTAGCAGTTTTCCAATGTGAAGTTGTCCCTAACTGATTTGTCCACATGTTGGTTATCATCCCCACCCAAAAAAGGAATTATCCTAACCTGGATGTATCACTTGAAAATTTTTAGAGACAATAATCAGGGAAGTTTCTAGAGAGTGTTTGCTTTTTTTTGGTTTTCCTTTGAGGACTGGGGTAACAAATACCTCCCCCAAAAATTATCAGCACAAAGCAGGGTATTGATTTTCAACTCTGATCTTGTTATTGGAGTTGAATACTAAAGAACTATAATGAGGAAAATACATTTCTAATACAATTTCCTACATTCTAGAAACATCCCTGTTTTAATTTTTTTACTTAAATCTTTTTGTGCTTTATCTGTAAAGAAATAAAATGTACTGAATTATAAAGCATTTTATTAACACTATGTACATAGCTGCTTTGTGTTCAGAATGGTAGCATTGCTTTGTATATTAAAGTGATCCTTGTGAATTTGTGAAATATTGTCATAAAGTCCTTTTTCTTACTGTAATCTTTGTGGTAAAAACTGTCATTGCCCTTTTACACACATTTATGTGCAGTCACATAAAACATGCTTTTAAAAACTCAGAGTCTCTTTTTTGGGGATGGGGGGTCTCTATCTTGTTTTTTGCTAGTAGTGTTAAGCTATATTTTCTTGGACTTAACGTTTGTTACTTTTGTTAAATGAGCAAAAGTTACGTTAGAATATATCACAAGCTTGTGTTGCAGAGCAACAGGAAACTAATTCAAGCAACAAGAACTTATCTTCAGTTAATTTTACTGTCTTTCTAATTTTTAGCACACGATTTCTTTGTTCAGTACGATTGAATAGTGCCTATTTGAAGATTCGGAGATGTTACTGCTCTATTGAGACAACCAATGGGAGACGTGTGACCAACTATCTTTGATGTCATAAAATGCATGTTTGCATTGGAAGAACAATAATTGCTAACTTCTCAGGTCCCCTTATAATTCTGAAGTTCTGTGATCATATGAAAGGAGGGAATGTGTTTAATCTGCTCCTTGCTTAAAGCATATGAATAAAAGACTCATACTATTTATTGATTCAGTTTCTGAAAACAGCAGTTGCATTTATTCTAAGTACTTCTAAATTGTCACGATGTGTTTATGAAGCCTGTTACACCTGCCACTGTATTAAAGGAATTATCTGACTTTCTTTTTTTTTCCTTCTACAAAGAGTGGCCACCACATAATTTATTATACAGTCAGACATTTTTGAGAGTGAAAGGGTGATGTTAATAGAGACAACGGACATGAATGAACTGAGCTACCTGGCCAGGGCTTATAATGCTTTATGAAAATGTAAAACAACCCGATCAATGCTTTTCTGGTAGAGCATCTAGACATCTTGAAGCTCTCCACCCCAAATCATTTTACATATATCATTCAAAGTGTGTGTGTGTGTGTGTGTGTGTGTGTATCTACATAGATATAGATGTATATGTGTATATATTATTTTATTGATTTCAGAAAGCGAGAGAGAGAAACATCAGTGATGAGAATCACTGATCAGCTGCCTCCTACCTGCCCACATTGGGGATCACGCCCACAACCCGGGCATATGCCCTGGCCAGGAACTGAACCCTCACCTTCTGGATCATAGGTCAATGCTCAACCACTACGCCATGCTGGGCAGGCCCAAGTTTAGGAATGTTAAAGCAAAGGAGCTGCGTTCCAATTAACACAATGATTTCTAATAGCGCGCCTGACTGTGATTGGCCCTCCGCTAGTGCTGATACTGCAGGGCTCTTATTTTACTTCTTTTAACCCTTTGAGTGCCAACCAATATCCTAGGAACTGCTAAAATTGCCAAGGCATTTTTGCTGATTTTACAGCAGTTTAGGAAAAAAATTATGAATCGCAAGTAAATGAAGTTATATATTCAAAAACTTAAGGGAACCTTTACTACATTATATTTAGCAATATCATCATCACTAATAAAAGCAGACTTAGACCTGGACGCCATTTCAAAGCTATGATAGC